TCCCGCGAGTGCTGAACCCCCTGGGGCCGGATGCCATGGGTAACAACTTCTCCAGTATCCCCTCTCTGCCCAGAGGAAACCCGAGCCGGGCAACGAGGGGCCACCCCCAGAACCTCAAAGGTAGGCTTCGCCAGCCAGCCATCCGGAAGCAGCTGGAGGACTGGGCGCAGGTGGAGGGGCAGGGAGCGGTGGAGAGACGCGGTTGGGAAGACCGGCAGGGCCACCTGTTGTGCGTATTTGGAGACAAGATACACATCTGGCCGTGGAGGTGGGCTGGGGGCGGTGGCCTATTGGTGATGGTGACAACGGGGGAGGATGGCGTCGTGTGGGGTCTGCGCAGTTCTCCCTGCCACCGCTGGAACGTCAGTGGAGTCCCCTCAGGCCATGATGCTAGGCCAGCATGAACAGAGGGCGAAGGGCCCTTGCCTTTCCTGAGCTGGGGAGTGTGGAGGCAAGCTCGGGGTCCTCCAGCTGAGTTTCTGCAGGAAGGCACCATTGGCTCCTTTTCATCCTCTTAGGGCCAGAGGGCTGGAAGCACTGCTTGCCTTTCCGACTGGAGGGTCTGACTTAGAGTGGCTTGGAGAAGGGGCTTGAGCTGTTGGCTCGGGGGTCCTCTGTAGCTGTCCACTCTTTGCATTCCCTCAGTCAGCTTGGTTCCTATTTTTCCCCAAAGACCAGATGTCCAGATGGAACCCTAGGAAGCAAGGGCTGGGAGCTTTGAAACAGAGGAATATTTACCAGGAAGGTCTTCGCTCTGTTTTCAGACCTACTTGGCACCCTTGGGGTTGCAGCCCCTGGCTTTGCAGCTTCCAAGGTTGTCTCTGACCTTTGGAAGACACTCTTGGGTCCTCCTGGGCCCTCAGACCCTATTAAGTCCCTGGGGAAGCTGCTTTTCTGTCCCCCTCAGAACCACTGGCACTTGTCCTGGGCATTCTGATGGCCAAGGCCAGGAAGGGAAGGAAGCCCTTGGGCTTTCACCAAGAACATCCACTTCCTCAGCCCCCAGGTTAGGAGAAGTATAGCCAGCGCTCTTTAACTCAAACTGTTGGCTCGGGGGTCCTCTGTAGCTGTCCACTCTTTGCATTCCCTCAGTCAGCTTGGTTCCTATTTTTCCCCAAAGACCAGATGTCCAGATGGAACCCTAGGAAGCAAGGGCTGGGAGCTTTGAAACAGAGGAATATTTACCAGGAAGGTCTTCGCTCTGTTTTCAGACCTACTTGGCACCCTTGGGGTTGCAGCCCCTGGCTTTGCAGCTTCCAAGGTTGTCTCTGACCTTTGGAAGACACTCTTGGGTCCTCCTGGGCCCTCAGACCCTATTAAGTCCCTGGGGAAGCTGCTTTTCTGTCCCCCTCAGAACCACTGGCACTTGTCCTGGGCATTCTGATGGCCAAGGCCAGGAAGGGAAGGAAGCCCTTGGGCTTTCACCAAGAACATCCACTTCCTCAGCCCCCAGGTTAGGAGAAGTATAGCCAGCGCTCTTTAACTCAAAGCGTTGAAGTTAACAAAGAACTTGCACAGACCTTTTCAGTGAGCGCAGAAACGGCTCTGGGTGTCCGCAGGGCAGAGCGAGGAGAGCCAAGGTTTATTTGAGGTTCCCAAAGCCTGCAAGAGGGGAGCTAGACTGCAGACTAGCTTTTCCTTCTTTCCCTTATTAAAGTTCATTTATTTATTTTGGGGGGAGTACCCCCCAACAGGGTCTTCACAAAGTGACCTAACCCTAGCTTTAGCCAGCCCTGGAACATGGGCATACATGTGCCTTTGCCATGTCCAGGGAGGTCTCTGGACACGACCCTGGAACTTTCCCACGCGGGTCAGCCTTGTAGAGCGTGGTGTTACAGCTGGGCCCACCATCTGGCCCCCAGCAGACCACGTCTTCTGGCTTGGAATTCTGTCTCCTTTTCTGCTAAACAGTGACCTTTCAGAGCTGGGGGAGGGGAAGAGAGGTGGCACCGCTGTCCTGCATTCTAGCGCTTGCTCTCCCTGTGCCTCGGGAAAGTCAGCGGGTTTGTTGTCTTTCTGGAAATTAGTATGGCGGTACATGTGAAGACACTTTGATAATATCATGGTCATTAACCTTGTCGTTCCACCTGGAAGAGTTAACTAAGGAAGTGAAGATACACACGTGTACTAGAGCACTAGGCTAGGATGTTCACGGTGCTCTCATTCATACTGTGGAAACCTAAATGCTAAGTAACCATGGTATGTCCTCTGGTGGGATACTGTGCAGTCATTACAAGTGTGTGTGTGTGTGTGTGTGTGTGTGAGTGTGTTTAAATGATTATTTTATTTAACTTTACTTATTTATTTATTTAAATTTGACCAGAGAGGGAGAAAGAGAGAAAGTGGGAATGCAAGCTGCTAGGTCCAGGACTTGAACCACGGTCGACTATGTGGGAGTCCAGCACCCTTAACCACCACACTACCTACTGGCATATATATTTTTGGAAATATGGGATGGCTTGAGAAAATGCTTACGACATGACAACAGGATACAAAATGGTAAGGACTGGGGCCGGCAAGTGGCATGGTGGTTAAAGGCGCTGGACTCCCACATGGCCGACCACGGTTCAAGTCTTGGACCTGGTGGCTTGCTTTCTCACTTCCTCTCTCTCTCTCTCTCTCTGTCTCTTTGATCAAACTGGAAAATAATAATGATAATAATAATAAATGAAGTCAAATAAAATAATTCAAAAAAATGGTGAGGACTGTAGGATCTTGTTAAAAAGAAATTGTATGATTGCAAAACAAGACAGAACAAAAGCAAGACAAAGCAAAACCCGTAAGGAGAGTTTTCAAAAGGTTAACAATGGTTTCCTCGGGATCGTATGAGATTTCTTTTCTTTTTTTTAAAAAAAAAATATTTATTTATTTTTATTTATTCAGCCATTTATTTTAACTTAATCAGAGAGGGAGAGAGACACACACACACACACAGAGGGACAGTGACAAAGCAAGCCACTACGTTTGGGACTTGAACCGTGGTTGGCCATGTGGGAGTGTCCAGTGCCTTAACCCACACCACCTGCTGGTCTCTAAGATTTATTTTCTTTCCAAGTTTTTTTTTTTTCTTTCTCTCTTTCACGTGAGAGAAAAAGAGAGAGAGAGAAAGGCACTCCCAACAAGGGCTGGAGAGAGACAGAGGGCAGGAGAGTGAGAAGTCACCCTCAAGGGGAATGGCTGTGCTGCAGTCCCTTCTCGTCCATTCTCCTCTCAAGATCCTGGGCACGCATGCACACACTCTCAGTGTGTTTTTCAAGCTGCTGGGTCGAGGCCTCAAACTGGGCACTTGGCTTTGTGGGATCCAATTGCCTTAACCACCATACCACCGGCTGGCCCAAACCCCCTCCTTTTATATATTTTGCTGTTTAAAAACTTTTTTACAGTAAGCAAGCATTATTTTATAATCAGAAATAAGCTATCAGTGTCCACATGTGTAAAGGCTGCTTCTGTTGGAGACATATTGATAAATATGAGAGGAAACTGCAGACCTCATTCAGGTCAAGCTTCCCCCTTGCAAGTGAGTGAAATGGGAGGGGAAAGTTAGAGATTTCCCCAAACTACTTTCAGTCAAGTGACAAAGCAGTCCTTCAGGGACGGGGTGGCTGGGGGCCAACGAGCTGATTTGATCCTTTAATACTCATAGACTGCCCCCTTTAGAAAGCCTTGCACCATCCTTGGTTCTATGGAAGCCACAGGAAGCTCCAGTAATTGTACTTCTTTTTATGGAGACCTGAGGTCTCTGTGGCTAGAGTTCTTGGTCGGAGGCAGGAGGGCATGGGGAAGGCGCTCACCCCCCTGCCACGCCCACACGCCTACTGGAGACGGCTATGGGAGTCCTGCTTCTGCTCCTTCCAAGCCTGAAGTGGGTAGAGCGTGCTGTGAGGACCGCCTGCCCGTGCCCTTCATCTTTTATCCGGAACCCAGTGAGCCGCCTCCTCAGCCTGAGTTCTAGGGACCTGTCCCCACCTGCCCGTCCTAACAGCCGTTGCCTTTTCTGTTCTCCTTGGTGTCTGCGCCCCGGCTCCGTCTCACTGCACCATCGTGACTCCGGAGTTGTCTCTGATATATCCATGGTCATCTGGAGTTCCATTCTGATTGCGCTGGCGTCGACGCTGGTGGGCTGCGACTCTAGTGCCCCACAAGATTTCTGCTGGGATCGCTTCTGTGCTCATCCACGAGTCAGCTCTATTTCTTTTACTCAATTGTATTTGTTATTATTATTTTTTAAATTTTACCACAGAGAAACGGGGAGAGAGAGAGAGCGAGCGAGCGAGAGAGAGCGAGAAAGGAAAAGTGAGAAAGCAAGCTGCTAGGTCTGGGACTCGAACCTGTCAGCCATGTGGGAGTCCGGCGCCCTTAACCATCACACTACTTGCCAGCCTCATCAGCTCTGTTTCTTAATATCCATCCAGAAATTTGCTGGGGTTGGGGCAGAGCAATCATACCCTCCTTAATTGTAACCTCTGCTGATTCATCACCATGTTAATAAAACACCCAGGAGGGTCCTGGCATAGCAGGGCCCTGGGACTGGGCCCTGGGACTGGTTGGAGATTGAAATTAGTCTGGCTGTGGGGCTGACGTGAAATGGGGCTTGACCGTCACCTCTCGGGTGGGAGATTTGGTCTTTATCCTGGAGACACATTGACCCCACTGCTGCCGGTGGCTCGCACTGGGGTCTTGGGGCATTGGTCCAGGAGTGTCCAGGGGCAGCTTTGGGCTTACGACCATGCGCGTCTCAGGAGTTCCTGTGTGCCCGCTCAGGGGTGAGGACCCTGGAGGGAGAGTTACTTAGCCCATCGGTGGGGATTGGATGGGCCACCTCCAGACCTCTTTTTTCTATTGTGGTGAGATGTACATAACATAGAATTCTCCATATTGGGACCAGCAGGTGGCATAGTGGTTAAGGCACTAGACTCCCATATGGCTGACTGCAGTTTGAATCCCTGGTGAGTTTCAACCTGGTGGCTTGAAACTCATGCTGGGCATGTGTATATGTGTGCCGAGGTCCCAAGTGGAGAATGGAGGAGATGGGATTGCAGCGTAGCCACCCCCCACCAGGGGTGACTTCTCACTTTCCTTCTCTCTGTCTCTGTCTCTCTCTTCCACGAGCGCACATACCC